CATATACCAATCTTCACTTCCTGCAACACACACAGATAACTTTTCCAAGATCCTTATTTTTTTTAGACAGCCATATTCCAGGCCATTTTACCTGGCTGTGTGTGTGTGGAAACTCTTGTAGCATATTTTTCAATGCCCTTCAATACTGCAGTTGGGCAATCTAGTCTTGTAGTTGCTTGCTAAGTTAATCCAAAGAACTGTTTTTTATTTATACAGGAATAAGTTCAGACTGATCCATATAAATAGAGTCACAAATATAAGATCCCATGCTCAGGTTGAAATCTCTTTATCAAGGAGGCAAGCAGCTGTGAAGGTAGCAACCCCCAGAATCCCCTCTTCTATTTATGTGCATTTACTGTGGTCCTCGCCCTCTAATTTATTAAATCAAAGAAATGATCAAGTGTGCCTCAGTGGCCTAAGGGTGGTGCACTGTCATCTTTATAAACAGGAAGAGAGACTGTTATTGCACAAGCATTAACATACAACAACACTGAGATGCACAGAGCACCCAACAATCCCCAAACCCCCGAAACAGAGTACCCTCTTCATGGCCTTCCTGGTCAAGACAAAAGACCCATGAACCATCTCAGGGAAGGAAAAATGGAGATGGCGTATTATCTGTGTTTCCTCTTTTTCTTCTTTGTTATGCAAACGAATGACTTTGAACTTAACTGTGTTCTAAGACATTGAGCCGAGAGAGGAAAAGCACAAACCCATCTGGTATTGCCATGATGTCGTTGAATCACCTTATTTGGGTAATTACTGAGTCTCAGTTTCAAAGTACAGAGAGGTATGAATTTCAATATTAAAAGACCTTACTATAGCTGATAAATAGCATCTAATTCTAGACTACATGTAATGAACTTTCACAACTTCTGTACAGCTAATACTATAAATAGAGCTCCTGGCATGAAGTTTCTTCCTCCAAACTAACAAACAGGACAAGGATTTGTGTGTTCTGTGTTGTTTTTGTTTTAGCCATTCATAGGAAGCCTGTCCTTCGTCTTCTGATTGATTAAGAACATTTGGAATACATGTGTCCTTCCACACATCACCCAAACTAACTATGCACGGCACATATTTTGGTATATAAAGAGCTGAGTCAGTGTTCCAGATGTGGGGAAGGAGAGCATGAGGGCAGACTTGAAATTAGCTCTGGCTAGTTTAGAATCATTTAATTAGCTTATGCTCACTAAGTGAAAGATGCAGAATTATGGCACCATTACGAACCGGGAGTGAAAACTTCCTGGGAGGTGGGAATGGGTGTCTGCTCTGACTCACCGATGACGACGAGCCCACAACCTTCTAGATAGGTGTGCTAGGGTCTGCAGAGCTGCCGTGACACGCCCCAGGCCTCACGGCACAATCTCTGCATTATGGTGCCATACCTACTTCTCTTGACTATTTTGTTACTGAAATACTGCTTTTGCCTAAGGACCGCTCTTCATTTGTTTGTTTGTTTTGTGGTGGTTGTTGCTGTGTGGTTTTGAGGTTTGTTGCTTTGCAAGAGGCTCTTCTCTCTTAGTAAATGAGCTCATCTAAAAAAAGAAGAAAGAGGGTCTGGGGAGATGACTCAGCAGTCAAATGGATTTATTGTTCTTCCAGAAGACCCATGTTCTGTTCCCAGGACCCATATCCAGTGGCTCACTACTGCCCAGGACTCCAGCTCCAAAGGATCTGATATTCTCAGCACCAGCGCTCTCTCTCTCGCTCTCTCTCTCTCTCTTCTCTCTCTCTCTCTCTCTCTCTCTCTCTCTCTCTCTCTCTCTCTCACACACACACACGCACACGCACACGCACACGCACGCGCGCGCGCGCACACACACACACACAGAGAGAGAGAGAGAGAGAGAGAGAGAGAGAGAGAGAGAGAGAGAGAAGCAAATATAATATAAATTGTTTTCAAAAAAGATTGGGGGTAGTCACCTAAGTGTTGGGAAAGAAGCAAACAGAGGGAGAAACAAGACCCAAGGACCAAGCTCGCTTAGCAGAGTGGAGGAGCAACCAAGAGGCAAAGTGTCCACAGCCCAGGGACTCTGGGAGAGGACGGACCTCTACCTCCTATGTGGACCTCGTGGCACCACTGTGGGTCGTGAAGATTAGAAAAGTTCAGCCTATCATGGGCAAATTTGAAGTATCTGAGCATTAAAAAAATAAGTTCTCGAATTTTCTTCAATAGAGTAATAGCGATTTGGCATTTTTGTACCTTCTCATGCCTCAGGGGCAGTACAGTGCCAGCTCCACCACTACTGACTATTATAAACAGTTTCTGTAGTTTTCCACTCCTACTAGGTATCCCAATGATTTTGATTAATTTTGGAGTCACTGGTCTGCCACACATATCAAAAGACAAAGGATGAAAAATATGCCATGCATCCTCTATGTCACCTGCCCTGGAAAACTTCAGTTTCCATCTTTTTTTTTTTTAACACTCTTAGTGCTATAAAAACTAAAACCATCAGAGTGACCCATGGGTGGTACCCTGACAGACTGCAATGATATGGAAACGCCACTGAGCAAATGGCCCTGGCCTGGCCTGAGCCTCCATACTCAGTTACAGTCAGTGGCTTTCTCCCAGAAGATCTCACTGGGATCTTCCCCAGGCTAAGCCTCATAAATCCTTCTCTAGCCTTAAAATTCTTCAAACTGTTGGGTAACGTCTCTTCTATAATAAAGAAAGCCTGGGACTGATGGGCTAAACGAAACTCTTAGCCAATGACAAAAGGCGATTTCTCACAGCCTCATAAATGCTCCCCCTTTGTGTGTATATATGATTTCTCTCAGCCTCATATATAGACTTACCATCCTGGTGGTTTCCATAGGAACTCAGGATCTGTACACCTCTTGGACATTGTGAATTTATATTCAACGTTTCTAAGTCTGAACTGTGAGTTTTGTGCTGTTCTCCAAGCTGTAAATGAAGATACTTTGGAGCAGAAATTTGTTATTTGGGAAGGTTAATAGGTTGCAACTACCTTACTCCACACATTATCTTTTGGAGATGATTTTATTTATGCATTTTCTTGGTAATAAAGCTATTCTTACTTAAATTGAGGGTTCCCTGACCTATCTGAAGTCTTAGGCTGTCACTCCCTGAGAGAGAGGTAAGTGGGCAGGAACCCTTTCAGGTCTTTGGACTTTGCTGATATGATGGAATAGTTCCCAGAAAGTAGCTTACGGGCTGTGACCTATTTTCTGCCCTTATACATGTGCAGAGGAATCCAGATGGTTTGATTAAATATAGCTTCTCCTGGCTCTGAAGGGAACACTTTACAGCATAGAGTTTGGAGAATTAGCCACATGATTCCTATTAGCATTAATGGAGGGCACCACGGCATTCCCCATATTCTAAGCTGAAACTGCAACCCCAATGCTTGCTAAAGGGACATTTCTTCCATTTATAGACCATCTGGCTCCAACTGTTATTTATGCAAGTGCATGAAAAATGTCTTGCCCTGAGTCTGTGCATTTAGAGGTGGCTGGACACGGTCCAGCATTTCTTGAACTTTGGTTTGCATCCGAACCACTTACTGGATTGTTAAAAATGGAGATTCTAGGAATTCCATTTTAGTAGATCTGGGGCAGGACCCAGAAACATTCAACTTTAGCATCCATTTGAAATATGTCAAGTGGAGGTCATCCATAGATTACCCTAAAAGGCCTATGACAGAAGAAAGGAGGATTCCTGAGAAATACACACATGGTATGGAGTGCAGTGTGAACCCCAGCTTTCCATTTTGAGGGAAACAGCTTCACCTTTTCTAGCCTAGAAAAGTGATAATGCCAGGGTTAATGTGATAACATACATAAGATGCCTGTTACGTATAATGCAATAGTTAGATTGTCTTTCTCATTCTATTGGACAAGAGATGAGTTTTCAACCAAATGAGCAGCACAAACCGTGACTATCAGAATTCCTTCATGCCATCCCAGTGACGTGGTAGACTTACAGCGAAATATAGGCGTTGAGCCCTGTGCTCTCAGAGAGGAGGAAATCACTGCAAAAAGCAGTGGCTGTGTGTCGAACTAACTGAAGGATTTTTCTCCATCTAAGACACAGAGAAGACAAAAGCTACCTTGTTGCACTATGAGAGCTTAAAGTATATTAACTGGGAAGCCAAGCTAGCATAGCCACTGTGTCCTCTCATGGTAAGTCCTATGAAATGATAAACTCCATGTTTCTCTTCGTTTACTCATTCAATTAATAAGTGGTTGCTGAATCCATCCTACATTCCAAGCACCCCTCTAATAGCTATATGGACAGACAGTCAATGTGTGTGTGTGTGTGTGTGTGTGTGTGTGTGTCTGTGTGTGTATGTGTATGTATATAATATATATATATGTAATATATATATATATTACAACAGCTGAGTGGAAGCAAATAAGCAATCACATACTTAGGCCAAACAAAGCCTTGAGGCAACTATAGTACCCAAGGTGGAGGACAAATAATGGCATGATAGGAAATCAGTGAAAAATTGTCCTTTAGTCAATATTAGAGCCTGTTTATTAGGAGAATGCTGTTAAATTTCTAGTCTGTGAGTTCCTATATTTTCCCTGTCCAGATCCCTTGACATCTGCCTCTTAGATATGGCAGGGGTTAAGACAGCTGTTACCCAGAGCCAAAGGAATGATCTATGAGTTGGTCAAATATTATCTTTGTTCATTTAAGGGGAGAATCTGCGATCTTGCTAATATGTGAACAAAGCCCTTTTTTCTTCACTTACTTTTTCTTGCAGTTAGTGAAAGTATTTCACTATTAAAGATGGTACAAAATCCTCTGGTTTTTTTTTTCTTTTTCTTTTTTTCCCTACTCTATTTGAACCTTTGCCAACCATTTTCCCCAACCAATCAAAGGAACTGGGCTGGGTAAAGTTTCTAATAAGTGATAAAAATCCTTACACAAGCAGGATGGAAAGCTCTTTTTCCACGGCTCTAAACAGACACACAGACAGGGTGTTTTATCATGTATCATCCCAGTTGAGCCCTTTAATGGTAGCCATGCCTATTAAACAACTCGAGTCGGTGAGGGCAGAGGCAGAGTAGCAATTTCATTCACAGCTCACTGGAGAGGTTCAGCTCTGCTCAGTGACACAGGAAACAGGGATCCATAAACATCAGCCTGAAGTTTCGGCAGTATCATTAGCCCCATAAGGAGAAAGTGTGCGATGATCCACGGACGGAGATGTTGTACAATATGCACAGGAGTCTGTGAGTAGTATATAGTGCAGAGCTGGTAAGTGGCCAGCATCGCTCTACTAACTTTTCCCTTGGGAAAGTTTGCCCTAGAAAAGGGTAGAAGACAAAAAATGTCAGGTCCCATTATCCAGCAGTCTGCTTAGCCTTGTGAACCTGCAGTGTCCAGCAGTGAGCAGACCTGATTTCAGTGGTCCCAGAATAGATTCCCCCTGTTTCTCCTTTATGCTCAAGGTCCTTACTTCAACCTTTGTGAACAAAGGGCACAAGGAGTAGCCTCTCCTTACCCATGGGGTAGAGACAACAGGTTGATACAGTTGCTGAAAACTTAGCATTTTGACCTATGTGGAGGTGGCCCTCAGATGCACTTGGACATATGGGGTTCAGGCTGGCAAGCACAAGGGTAGGAAGCTTGGGAAGACAGTTCTACAGTTTGGAGAGAAAGGAATCCCAGTATATGGTAGCCTAAAAAGACATCCCCCTAGCGATTATATTATTAAAAATATTGTAAGTGAATAATTACTTCAATGTTTTGAAGGAAACCATAACTGCCAACATTTAGAAAAGGTTAAAACTCACTTGGGCTTCTGGGGGAAGAAATAAAGCCAGGGGCATTCTAAATGCTTTATCTTCTCGTTGGTAAAGGTAGTGGTCATTATTTATTAAATAGAGTGGAGACTCTTGGGAAATTAATTTGGCCCTTTGATGCCAAGTGGATCAAACTGAATAGATTAGGAGCGTTTTGCCTTAGACTGTTTCCACAATGGTTATTTCCTAGTGTGTCCTTGGAATCCAGGAGGGCAGGAGGGGAGCTAGGGGACTCTCCCCCCCCCCAGCCAAGAATCACTAGCATAGAAATGCCATCGTTGCCAGTTCGTTTCTGGTCATGCACAAGGAGCGTCCTGCTGGAAATAAAAATTAGTCTTTTCTCACTACCCAAGCAACAGGAGCGCCATGTGGGAAATAAAGTACTGCCTCTGGTCCCAAAGACCATCACATAAATAATTTAAAAAGTGATTTTGTTGCTTTAGAGCCTTTGTCCCAAGTAGTCTTCAGGTCATGAACCTGTAGGAAATAAAGAGTTTCTTTAAAAACCAACAGGCCTTTTCAATCACTTCTATTATCTACCACCTCTCTCCAACTTTTTCATTACCTTTCCCTCGGCCTTTGCTCAGTGAATATTTCTATGTCTTTCAAAACCAAAAATAAGGGCAAAAAGGAAGTCAATTTTCTCCTGAAGAAAGGGATGCGCTCACTTGGATTTCATTTCTAATAACCAGTGGGCATGTTTGGGAGGTGGTACAAAGGCTCTGTCTTCAATATTATAAGGCCTGAGTTTGAATACTGGACCTTAAGAGTTTTTTTTTCATTTGGGCAAATAAGGGGAATGTGGGCTATGCTTCAGTAAAAGCAACTATAATATCCCCAGTAGCTTAAAGTAATCATAGATTGTTTTCTTTCTCACGCTGCACGGCCACCATCATGATAGTTTGTCCCTTCTCCAGGACACAAGTCATTGGACTTATCATCCGCCCGAAACATCAGTGTGTAGTGGCCCAGGAAAGGAAAATGGCTTTAAAAGCTTCCATCTAGAAATACTGTATGCCTTCTTCACTTATGTTTCATTAGCAAAGCAGGTCACATGGCTACATCCCACTCCCAGGGGAATGTGGTGCATAGTTCTCCTCTGTATCCACACACACTGAAAGTCATCATCTCCCCTGCTCAACATCCATTTTCCTGCCTGCAAAATAACACTGCTCCCTTCTAAGGGGTGTTGTGATTAACGGCCATGGAAAGTGTGTTCCATGCTGAAGTAAGAGTGGCTTCTCCTGCAGCTCAGTCAGATCTGCTATTACATGTCATTTAAGGTGTAGTTGATGCACTGGTTTATTTTATTTTATGCTCACAATAACCCTACATCTTAGTTATTTTACAAATAACATGGAGACTAGAAAGGTAAAAAAAAAAATCACTTTCTTAGGAAGTAGCTTGCCAATAATAGAGCAATAACTTCAGTCATCCTGCTGGTTTCCATTGGCTCCCAATGTTAGGTTTTGATGCTGCTCTGTAAATTGTTATATTTTAAACCGTGTGTCTATGTTCATATATGAAAGTGAAAGTTCCCTGAGCCATGTCTCCTCTTCACCACAAATCAAGGGCAGTTCCTCTGATAGTCAGGATTTGAAGGGAATGAACAATGGATGCCATTGTATCTGCTTTTAAACTAAAGTTAATGTTTCTATACTGTTACTTAAAATGGTTTATTAACAAATAGATTTAAAAAAAAAAACCTTCTATAAATGTCTTTGATTTTCAAGTTAAATATCTCCAGCATTCCCAATGGATCAAAGACCATATTGATCAGCTGATCTTTAAACTACCACTGGCTTCAGTCTTCACAATACCTAGATAAAATAATCCAAAAGCTTTCTCAACTGAAGATGGAAACTACTTGTTTAAAGGAGATAAACTGCTTGGTCTTTATTACACAAAGACCTTGGGTAAGTGGTGGGACTAGAGTAGTTAACAGAATAATAATTCTCCCATCTTCATGAACTGAAGGTTTGTCTATGGACCAATCATCAAATAGTAACATCACAAAGGAGGTTTGTGAAGATGTCAACCATAAATCTGTGTTAAAGTAATTGCCTTCACATGCCCTCCCCTAAACCTCCCTCTGGATCCTTTCTATTGTTCTCTTTCTGTCTTAACCAAGAAGACTTGGTTTCTGGTTTAAAACTGCACTGCAAAGACTAGATTGCATGGTTACCCAATGCCCATTCACACATGTTTCTCTTTAAATATCATTGACACCTGCACAAGGATCAAGGCAGAGTAGCTTGACATCTAAAGGATCATGGGCTTTTCCTCTGCTAGATGACTCAGGTAGAGCTTCCTCGTGTTCAGACTATACCAAACCTTCTGTCTAGCATTGCCTAAATTTCTGAGAGGAGAGGACCGAGTCAGCCAGGTGAGGAGGTGGGATTGAAATCACCTAAAACTCCCAACACATGCTGAGCACGCCAGTCCTGGCAGAGCCTTAGCAAAGTCCCAGCTGAGCACTTTTTGATATATTCTGGTAGAGTGCTGTTCATGCTTTGTATGGAGAAGAAACCTTCTCAGTCAGATGGGAAAATAACCAATAACTAGTATCTGAAAAGACCCCCCCCAAAAAAACAATTGCTTTTTCCCTCCTTGTCTCTTTTCCAAACTATATCCAAACCTTAGCAACTTTGGACATTGCCACCCCTTTTGACTTACTGCTGTAAACAAGATGGACTATTCATGAGATGGTGTTTAGATGTAGGAGATCTCTCTCTCTCTCTCTCTCTCTCTCTCTCTCTCTCTCTCTCTCTGTGTGTGTGTGTGTGTGTGTGTGTGTGTGTGTGTGTGTGTGTGTG